CAATCCCTGGTATCCTATATGGTCCCCCAAGTACCAACAGGAGTCACCCTGAGTACAGAGCCAGGAGAAAGCCCTGAGTATCACTGGGTGTGGCCCCAAACCAAACAGAAAAGTATCTATATAAAGTATATATATAATATAATAAATATATACTTTTTATTGGGCTGGAGCGATAGCACAGAGGGTAGGGCGTTCGCCTTACAAGCGGCCAACATGGCCGACCCGAGTTCGACTCCTCCGCCCCTCTCGGAGAGCCCGGCAAGCTACCGAGAGTATTCGATATGCCAGACACAGTAACAACAAAGTCTCCAATGGAGACGTTACTGGGCCCGCTCGAGCAAATCGACGATCAACGGGAGGGCCTTTACCTTTACCTTGCCTTATACTTTTTATTATATATATAATTCCATTCCACAGATAGTCTTTGGGGACGTTTTTCTCTTTCTTTCACTCAATATTTATATTCCATATCTCAATCATATTGCTGGTTTTGGATTTTTTTGTCGGGGGGGGGGGTTGTAAATTTACAAAATAACCCACGGTGGCTGTTAACCGAAAGGTTGGTGGTTCGTGCCCACCCAGGCATGCCAGATGTAAGTTCACAAAGTAATCCGTGGTTGCTGCTGCTGTGACATGCCTGTGCATGTGCGTTCAGTGGCCCTGAGCCGCCTCCCTGCCTCCCCACCTCCCCAGGGTTCCCCAACAGAGACACAGAGAGACTGGGAGACCGGGAGGAAGGGGACCACAGTCTGATGATGAAAATGGTCTGTTTAATGCAGAGCTGCTAGCAGACTTACAGAACATCTGAAGGGGGGTTGAGGTAAGGACAGGTGTGATTGTTTATTTACATAGATAAATATTTGGCAGAGGAAATTCTCTTGGGGAGATCAACTCAAGAAGACACTCTGTCTCCCAGGGACATGTACATTGCTTTTATCTTTCCTTCTATTTGTATTAATTATCAATACCTGCAATTGTTTGGATAAACTCAGTAAGAGACAAAGATCCCAACACTTAGTTCTCTAGGCTGAGAGCAAGCAAATCCTTTAACACTTTAGTTCTCTGGGGTCTGATTGCAAGCAAAGTCTTTTATCGTAAATCCTAGACTAAGTCCTCAGGCCAGTTCAGCTTGCCCTTCCCCATGGGGGTCCTGTCCCCTAGGTTGTAACAGTTTGCATCAAGACCATGCATTTATGCTTTCTAGAATGTCCCATTTCAATGCTGAGTAGCTTTGCCACTTGCTCTGGGGTCCATCCCAATCCCACGGCGGGACCTCCTTTTTGGGGTGATAGGAACTACAGAAATTGAAGCCTGAGTCAAGTAATTATGACCAAATAATTATGCCCAGGAGCAGATAAATTTCAGTCAGTCAACTCCCAAATATTAGGAGCATGGCATTAATGGTCTTTCTGTGTTTAACCAAAGAACATTGCTCTGTAGTAAAATATAAAAAGGCTATAGGGGAGATAGAAAAGCAGGTACAAATATACAGCACTTCAAGTACAAAGCAGTACAAATACAAGTTCAGATTCACCAGAAAGTTTTGGCTTACAAGTAATCAAGAACTGTGACAATGAGAGGTAAAATATAAGGGAAAGGTTAAGGATAAACTTTAGCTAAGTTAGGGATGCTAGCAAGGGCATGTTAAACTTCTCTGGGAGGAAGAAAGGGGGCAATTCACTGATGAAGCCTAAAGCACTTAGGGTTAATATCCAACACAAAGGAAAAGTTGGAGATAGACTTTAACCAAATTAGGGATATTAGCAAGGGCACGTTAAGCTTCTCTGGGAGGAGAAAAGCCGCAATTCACCGGTGAAACCTAAAACACTTAGGGTTGATATCCAACAGCGGGGTACATGTGTGAACAGGTATTGAGCCTCATCCTGAGGTGCTCAGTGCTTGGGCATTGCTTAGGGATTGATTCAGGGTTGGTCATATGTGAGGCATGCACCTAACTCCGGTATTATATCTCTAGCCCCTGGGGTTTTTTGGTTTTGTTTTTGGGCCCCACAGGGAGTGCTCAGGATTACTGGACATAGTGCTCCTGGATTATTCCTCTCGATACACCAGTTACTATTGGTGCCAGGGACCGAACCCGGGCCTCCCCCAAGCAAAGCATGTGTCCTGGCTCATTGAGCTCTCTCCCCAGCCCGTATTTCTGTTTTTATTCATGTTTTACTGCTGTCTATTTATTCCCTATTTCTTTGCTTTATTTTATTTTAAAGTCACACCTGGCTGGTGCCCAGGGGTTATTTCTGCTTCTGTGTTCATGGGTAATTGTCACAGTTCTTGATTACTTGTAAGCCAAAACTTTCTGGTGAATCTGAACTTGTATTCTGGGCACCATATGGAGTTCCAGGATCAAACCCAGGTCTGCCGTGTATAAGGTGCCTGCACCTCACCCCCTGTAGTCTCTCTCCCACCCACCCCACTTCTTTGATTCCTGTCAATGTCAATAGCACTGGGGCATTTTCCATTCAGGGTTCCTGTAAAGAGTGCTTCTGTTAATACTCCACCTGTCCCCTGGTGCGTGTCCAGGAGTGTCTGTGACTATGTCCCAGCAGCATCTGCAGCTCTTGGGTCCCACAAGGTTCCAGTGGAGCTGCTGTGACTCACGGGGAGTGCTGAGCAAGTTCACAATGTGCCTCTTACCCCAGGTGGGAAAGAAGCCAAGACAAAGTGGGAGAAGCTGCCACAGAGAGTTCTGGGTGTGAGTTGAAGCCCCACGGTGGGGCACCTGCGCTCAGCTCTGAGAGTGTTCTGAGAGGGGAGAAGAAACATTCAGACATGCTGCCTGAGAATCATTCTCCAAGAAGTGTACCCCCCACTGGGCAACTCAAGTGGGTGGAGCAAAGGGTTCATTCTGAGGCTAGATTGATAGTAGGGCAGGAAAGGTACCTGCCTTGCATGCGGTGAATCTAGCACCCCATGTGGTCTCCTGCCAGGAATAAGCACAGGTGTAGTGCCCACCCCCCCTCCCCAAAAAGACCTCTTTCAGACAGGCAGCATCTCCATTGCAGGATGAGAGGGAGCCTTGGATTGGGGCCTGCACCTTTGCTACACCCGGAGGGGAGGGAGTCTGAATTCCTGAGTAAGTATCAGGAGATCTCGTCCTATCTCGTGTATCTCATTTTTCATTTAGTGTCTTTTGTGTGTGTGTGTGTGTGTGTGTGTGTGTGTGTGTGTGTTTGGGGCAATACTCGGCAATGCTCAGGGCTTACTCCTGGCTCTATGCTCGGGGATCTCTCCTGGTGGAGCTCAGAGGCTATATGGCATGCTGGGGATGGAACCTAGATAAGCCATTGAGCGAGGCAAGAGCCCTACCTGCCGTTCTCTCTCTTCAGTCATGTCTTTTTTAATCTCCCCAGTTAGAAAGAGTACTACAATCAAGTCTCAATTAATGATGGGATACAATCAGAAGTAGAAATGTGTCATTAGGCCATTTAGTCATGTGCAAATATCTTAGAATGTATTGACACAAACCTTGGTTGCCTAACCTACTACCCACCTGGGCTCTCAGTAGAGACCACTGGTGTCTATGTAATCCCTCACTGATGAAAACATCATTATGTGCAAGATATATCATCTCCACAGATAAAGAGTTAAGAGAGGAAAAGTACCTGGCCCAATGCCACAGCATTTGTGCCAATTGCCTGAACAAATATTTTCTCCTCCTGAAACCTTAGTTTTCTATCTGTAAGAGGGAATGGTCCCCAAGCTACCTCAGAGTAGATGGATTAAAAATGCAATTCAATGCAAGTAAGGAGCTGAGCATGAGTCCTGAAATTGCTCTCCACAGGTCACTTGTTTCTTGGTATTACTATTGTCATTACATTAAGTTCATATTAAGGAGAGCAGGTTACCCTGCACCCTCACTTCTTGTCACCTGATGATGTAGCTTCTCACAGAGACCCCACGGGACATGGTGAGTAAGGCCCATTTTGGAACCCTCTGCTGATTCTGAGATGTGTCATTCAAGGCAACACAGGTAGTCACCTCCTCCACCCTACTCTCTAGCTCCAGAATAGAAGTACTTGTCTTCACCTGCAGATTTTCCTGAAACAGGTCAATTCACTTGCAAGCAGACGACCTGGGCTTTCAAGTCTGTCTCAGGGCAGAGGAGAAATTGGAGTGTAGCCTTCCATTCCATGGAGAATATTTGCTGAGCATCATGTGCCAGATCCTGTTCTGGGCACCAGGAGCACTGGGAACCAGACCAGACCCTGTCCTCAAGGTCAGATGATAAAGGTGGCAGAAGGAAACGGAAGACAAGAAAACCACAGTGCGCTGAGGATTATAAATATGAAATGCAGGGAAATTATCTACATAACAGATAGGCCCAGGGTTTAGGAAAGGCGTCCTAGGACGGACATAAGTCCTCGGAGCAGACTCTTTTAGGTCAGGCCAAGGGCTCCCCAGGTAATTAGAGAAAGGTAGAATCACAGGCCCATTTATTTACTTTTTAATTTTGGGGGGTGAAACAAGATAGTTTTATTGAAATTTATTTGGAAAGATGAAGGAGAGAGAGAGAAGTGACATGTTCAAGAGAGAGCACAGGCTTTCCAGAGTGGAAATGAGCAAAGCAACAGAGAGACAAACAAGTGAGATACGTTTCCAAGGGAGAACACGGGGTTGAAGAGCAAACCCACACGCCCATTTAACAGATCTGGAGCCTGAGTCCCAGCGTCCGTCTAACCCCTTCTACTCCGCCCCTCCCGCGAGTCTTGACTTCTGCCAGCCAGACCCAGCACCCAAGCCAGCAAAACTGTCTTGTGGGTGCCAGTAGAACCTTCCGAGAGCCGAGGCCGAGCGTGCAGGCCCGCAGCTGCTCAGGGCAGAGCCGGGGCGGGGCTTCGGCCCAGGTGCGCGGCGGCGGCGGCGGCGGCGCTTCGCGGAGGCAGGAAGTGTGTCCCCAGCGGCGGCCCGTGCAGCGCTCCCGCGAGACGCACACCTGCGCTCCAGGTGAGCGGCGAGGGGGCGGGGGGAGGGGCCGAGCCGGGGGCGGCTCACCTGGCGGGACAGGTAAGCCCCGCGAGGGCCCGAGAGGACGCGATCCTGGGCGGCACCGGTGTGGAGAGACCCTCGAGGCAACGCGCCGGCGGCGGGGCGTCCCGCGACAGGTTCCTCGGGGACCACCCTCCCACTTCCGGGGTGCGCGGGCCGGGCCGGGGAGCGGCCTGAGTGGGTGCCTGGGCTGGACGCGCAGAGCTGGGTGAGGGGGGCCCGTGTTCGCCCTCGGGGCTGCTCTGGCTGGAGGCGGGAGTGCGCTGGCCTGGGGGCGCGGCGCCGGGATGGGGAGGGGGTGGCAGGCTGGAGGGAGGGCCTGGGAGGGGAGGGCGTGCTTGCCCCGAGGGCACTGCTGCTGCAGACGCTGAGGCCGTCCCGGGGGCACTGCCCGGTCTGCTTCTTCTCCCTGGTCCCCGAGACAATGCCCACCGGTGCGCGAGTCACGGGCTGAATCTTTGGGACAGGCGATCTAGGGGGCACAGGTGCCCCTGCAGGAGCCAACAACTGTTCTGGGAGCAGGGCAGGTGTGTAAGACTGCGGGGCGCCGCGGGGGTGAGGTAGAGGAGTACCGGGGTCTGTGCCAGGGAGGAGTTGTGGAGTACTGTCCAGAAACGGTCTCGGGGGAGCATCAGTAAGAAATTTGAGGTGGGCAGGTCTGGGACTAGGAACTTCTCACTCCCGCAGTGCCCGGGAGGGGTCCAGGTGTCAGGCATCAGGCTCAGCTTTCGGCATACAGGTGACCTGTGAAGGGACTAATCTCTCCCTTGGTAAAGGTGAGTAAATGGAGACCAAGAGTCTTACCCCGTGGCCACAGTGGGGCTCATCTCCACCCAGAGCAGAGAATATCTGGGGGGGCGAGGGGGGGGGGAGAGACGGACCCCGGAGATTCAGGGATTCAGGGCTTACTTTCACTGAACTCAGGAATCCCAGTCTCAAGGTTCCAGCCACCGAGTCATTTGGGGCTCACCTCACTGACTCCAGTGACGCGGATTCCTAAGACTGACAGGTCCTAAGGCCACTTGGGGGCAGCGGCATAGAACTCACCTAACTGGGACAAAATGGATGAGTTTGACTTTAAAAGGGTTCAGGGCCTAGAGGATAGGGGAAAACTGAGGCCAGGCCCTGTCCTTACCCCCAGGCCTTGCTCCCTTTCTCTCCACCCCTTCTTAAGTTATGTGGCACAGAGCAGCTACGCGGCTGACTCAGTACAGCCCTCCCTCTCTCAAGGGGCATCTCTGGGTAGTTCTCTCCTCTCTTAGCTTCAGGCTCCTGGTCTGTAAAGTGAAGCTGTAATACCTGCAGGGCAGTGTGAGCGGCAGGGAGGGTCTGAGCCTGCTTCCATCCCCTTCACCAAAGTTTTCCCAGCATCTAGTACTGTGAGGACACTTGTAGGTGCCAGCAAATACTGTCGGTGAATTTACTGAATATTAACCCTCGAGGAGTGGGGAGAAGATAGTGACTGAACCAGCCATGTTTAGTGACCCATGTTTAGTGACCCATTGATGTTCCTATGGCTGAAACAGTGTAGAGCCGAGCGTCCTTCCTCATCCTGCCCTTGAGACTAGAGAATGCAGGGCTCCCTGCAGAACTCCTCAGTGGATACAGATTTGTCCCATGCCAGAAACTGGCTACTTTCATTTGCCTTTGTTTTCCCAAAGGAATAGATGGGATGGGGAGCTAGAGAAGAGTCCGGCCAGCTGTTTGGGTGCAAATTGGAGTGTGGCAACTTATTTCATAGCCCTGTGTCTCGGTACAGTGATACCAAGAATATCTCCAGGGTGGTGAGGCTTCATTGTTTTTATGCATGTAAAGCACTTACAACAATGTAACTGCCACTAAAGTACAGTCTCCTGAGTTTAGGGGATTTTGTCTGTTTTATCACTGTCTCTGTGGAATTTCAGCAGAGTTTGGCACACAGTAGGCCCTCAGGAAATCTGTTTATTGAGCAATTGAAGGAGTTCGTACCTTCTGGCACTTTGTTCAAACCAAAGGTTTTTGTCTGTGAGCTGAGAGATTTTAGGGACTTTAAAGTCATCTGTTACAATGTTAGTTTGCTTGCCCTTGGATCTGTGTGTGTGTGTACGTGTGTGTCTGTCTGTCTGCCCGCCTGTCTGTCTGTGTGTCTGTCTGTGTGTGTCTCTCTGTCTCTCTCTTATATACACACACACACTACACACACACACACACACACACACACACACACTCACACTCCAGACATATGCTTCCCCACCTCCTAATTGGTTAGCCTGAGTCAAGATCTTTTCTTTCCATCCTATGTTCCTGCCCCTACTCTAAGATCACAAAGACACACTATCAGTCCACAGACACACTATCCCACGCAACCCTGTTGCAGACATTTTAGCAGACAGGAAACAGACACAATGTCTGCCCTTCAGAGTCATATTCAGCTAACAGAACCCAATAGTAGACTTTGGGGAATCTGATTCTGGTTTGTTTGTTTTGTTGTTGCTGCTATTTTTGCTTTTTGGGTCACACCCAGCGATGCACAGGGGTTACTCCCAGCTCTGCACTCAGGAATTACTCCTGAGGGTGCTCAGGGGACCATATGGGATGCTGGGAATTGAACCCGGGTCGGCCACATGCAAGGCAAACGCCCTACCAGCTGTGCTATCGCTCCAGCCCCTGACTCTGGGTTCTTGAGTATTCTTGGGAAGAAACACTGGAGTTGGGCAGGAGGAATGGCTGGAAGAATAGTAGGAATAGTTAAAGAACACCTGTGTCTGCTCCCCCAATCCATTCATCATGGCTAAATTTCCCTCCCTCTCCCTCGCTCTATCTGCACATGGCCTAGAATTAGGTTACAGGCCTTTACTAATACATACTATACTATACCTTTACTATACATACTCCATTACTAATACATACTTCTGTGTATATTCCCTAAGAATAAAAGCGCTTTATAGTCAGTAATCAAATTTCGGACATTTATCAGTGACATAATAAATGGTTGCTCATCAGATTTCACCAGTTTTCTACTTTGTCCAAGTTCCAGCTTTCAGAATCTATCACAAGATCACATATAGTTATCATGACCCTCAGCTTGTGTCCTGCTGATGTTTCTTTATAATATGTTCCTATTATATCCTGAATGAGATTATGTTCTTCTAAGTACATAGTGTCAGGAGGTACACGATGTCAGTTTTTCGTGTTTTTGATAGTGTTAACCTTGACTCTTGGACTAAAATATCTGTCAGGTTTCTCCAGTTTCGTGGTGATTTGTTTTGTTTTCTCTCTCTCTCTCTCTCTCTCTCTCTCTCTCTCTCTCTCTCTCTCTCTTTCTTGTTTTTGGGCCACATCTGTCAGTGCTCAAGGCTTACTCTTAGCTCTGTGCTCAGGGAGCATTCCTGGCAGGCTCAGGGGACCACTGCTTGAATCCTGGTCAGCCATGTGCAAGGCGAATGCCCTACCCATTGTATATCACTCTGGCCTTCTGTTTTTCAGTTGTTACTGGCTGTGCAGCAAGTAGAAGGGAATGGAAATAGCAAGAATGGGGGCCTTGATGGTATTGGGTTAGGGGAGTGACAGTGATTTTCTCAAGGCACTTTGCCTATAGAACCAAAATCAGAACTATAACATGAATATTCTCTCTCCCCTCCCTTTACTCTGTTGATGTTGCAGTGACTAGGGGTTGCATCCATGCCAGACTGTACTGCCCCTTGCTGGGGTTCTGCAATGGTCAAACTGGTGCTCACATATCTCTTTGTTGTGTGCTCCCCAAGACTCACACCCTTCAGGAGTGTTCACGCAGACCCAGCTGGGCTGCAGCCCAAAATAACTTGCTGTGCCAGGAGTCAGGACAGCAGAACAGCCCATCATGAACAGCAGCCATCAGGGTCTGCTTGGCAAATGCAGGGGGCACCAAGGACCCAACTCATGGCTTCACACTTGCAGGCAGTCACTGAGTTATCTCCCAGCACCCAGAATACACAGATATCCTGAAGCCCAGTGAAAGGTGCCTTATGCATCACCCCTTCTAGGATCATTAAATCAGTGTCTCAGAAATCCAAGTTTAGGATAGCTACTCTGGCAGCACCCTAAAGGTGGTCATGGAACTTCTCAAATACATCACCACACAGCGTTCCGCGTCCTCCCAGGCAGGTATTTACTCCCCTGATGCCCCGAATGCCCTGAGTTCTTAAGCTTCAGCTTTCCCTACAATGCCAGTTGTGAGACACAAGGAAAGGGTCTATGGTTTATCATCTTTGATTCCAGTTCCTGACATGGAACCAGGATCTGTATTTATGGACTGAATGAAGTATTGGGTTAGGGGTAGACTCTTCCGAGTCTACCGGTAGCCTCGTTAAAAAGGGAAAGAAGAAAGATATTTTGCATACAGGAGATACTGGTTCAGTCCCTAGTACTACATGGAGAGGGGCGGGGGTGGGGGGGAGGTAAGGGGGGAGGAGTGTCAAGGACTAAATCCAGACTTTCACACGTGCAGTGCAAATACTTTCCCACTGAGCTACATCCCCAGCCCTGGCTTAGCTCTCTAATGAAAGGAAGCAAAACAGTCCTTGATGTTCAGTGTTGCAAAGAGAGCAAATCTGAACGGGACTCGCTATTGAGAGGGTCCTGTGATATCCTACATCAGTTTGTTTTTTTCTTTTTGGATCACACCCGGCAATGCACAGGGGTTATTCCTGGCTCTGCATTCAGGAATCACTCCTGGCGGTGCTCAGGGGACCACATGGGATGCTGGGAATCGAACTCAGGTCGGCCGCGTGCAAGGCAAAAGCCCCACCCGCTGTGCCATTGCTCCAGCCCCATCCTACATCAGTTTTAAAGGAGGGGAAGGGAAGAGGCTAATGATCAGTTCTGCAGCTCGTCACTAGAAGGTTGTTTGTTGAGCAGCAGCAGATGAGACTGAGTGTGGAGTGGACTTACCAATGGCAAGAAGAAATGGGGGAGACCATCAGAAAGTGAGAGCCCAGGAAACGTTTCACTTTATGTAGTAAAAGATATAGAACAGAAAATGTATCATTTTGTAACCTTTTTATGTTGTCGCCACACCCTACAGTGCTCAGTGTTTACTCCTGGCGGGGCTCAGGGGACCACATGGAGTGGTGGGGATTGAACCCAGATAGCCTAATGCAATTCTTGTTCTATCACTTCCTGTTCTATCACTCCAGGCCTTAACCCTTTTTTAAATGACTGTTTCAGTCACGTAGTCCTATGGCGTTAGGCACATTCACACGAGTGTATCCTCATCCCTACCACTATCACCAGAACGTTTTCATCTTCCCAGACTAAAGGCCAGCTTTCCTCTGCCCCAGCCTCCGCTCTGCTACCTCTTGCCTCTATAAATCTGACTATTCTAGAAGAATAGAAGTGGGACCATACAACGTTTGTCCTCTTGGGTCTGGCTTCATTCACTTAGAATCAAGTCTTCAAGGTTTACCCATTTGTAACAACACAGTTGCATTCATGTTTAAGGCCGAATAATAGTTCACTTGATGTGTATACAGATGGTCCCTTACAGACCATGGTTCAACTCACAGTGTTTTGATTTTATACTGTGCTTAAAGCAGTACGCATTCAGCAAGAATTGTACTTTGAAGTTTGAGCTTTTTCTCAGCTAGCGGCCTGGACTAGCGATGCTGAGCAGTGGCAGTGAGTCCAGCTCCAGTCACGCTGCTCACACGGTGAACAGCCAAAGCTCTACTGTGTACTGGGCCAAACAGTGCCTGGGATGGAACCCACCACCTCATATATGCAAGGCATGTGCCCTGTCACTTGGCTAAATCCCTAGCCCCTAAATACATTAAAAAATAAATAAATAAAATAAGAGGGGTTGGAGCAATAGTACAGTGGGTAGGTCATTTGCCTTTCATGTGGCTGACCCGGGTTTGATTCCCAGCACCCCATATGGTCCCCTGAGCACCACCAGGAGTAATTCCTGAGTGCAGGAGCCAGGACTAACCCCTGTGCATCAGCAAGTGTGACCCAAAACAAACAAAAAAAAAGAGCCACCCCTATTGATAAACCCGAGATGCAGGCCTAATGGTTTCCATGGTCACCAAGGTGACATCTAGTGATGCACAGAGGCTAAATGATTTTCTATTTTTTTTCTATTTTCTTTTTCTTTTTTTACTTTAATGCCTGGAGCGATAGCACAGCGGTAGGGCATTCGCCTTACAAGCAGCCAACATGGCCAACCCGAGTTCGATTCCTCCGCCCCTCTCGGAGAGCCCGGCAAGCTACCGAGAGTATTCGATATGCCAGACACAGTAACAACAAAGTCTCCAATGGAGACGTTACTGGGCCCGCTCGAGCAAATCGACGATCAACGGGAGGGCCTTTACCTTTACCTTTACTTTAATTACAGTGCCAGAGTTCAAACCCAGAGCCTCACACATGCGAGGCAGGCCTGCTACCACTGAGCCAGATCCCTGGCTAAATGTATTTTTGACTAAGGCTTTCGGGGGGAAAAAAACGGGGGGCCACACATAGTGGTGCTCAGGGATCATCCTGATGGGTTCAAGGGACCATATGGGATGCCAGACCTGGGTTAGCCATGTACAAGACAAGGGCCCTACCCATTGTACTATTGCTCCAATCTCTTTAGGCTACTTATTTTGAGGGGGAGGGATGGGCGGGGAGTGCTCAGGGCTTAATCCTGGCTCTGACCAGAATTCAGGGATCACTCCTAAGAGGGCTCAGAGGACTATATGGCATCCTGGGATTGAACCCTGGTCTGCTGGGTGCAAGGCAGGTGCCCTACCCGCCGTACTATTGCTCCAGCCCCAGGCTTAAGGCTTCATACAGAGGTAGCACCAGTCAAGGAAACTGTACCACATTTTGTTTATTCATTTATCCATCAGTTGACATTGGGCTGCCACTTTTTTTGTTTTGTTTAATTCGGGTAGGGAGGACACACTTCCTGGCTCTGTGTTCAGGGATCACTCCTGGCAGTGCTCAGAAAAACATACTTGGTGCCTAGGATCAAACCAGGGTCACTGTGTACAAGGCAAGCATCCTACCTTTTCTAAGTGTACTATCACTCCAGCCCCTTTGGCTGCTACTTTTAGGCTATGCTGAATATCCCTACCATAAACATGGGTATACAATATCCATTTGAATTCCTATTTTTAGTCCTTTTGATTGTATACCTAGAAGTGGAATGATTGGATTTATGTGAATTATTGTGTGTGTGTGTGTGTGTGTGTGTGGAGGGGGGGAGGGTGCTGGACCACACACAGTGATGCTCATGAACTCAGTGGTTTACTCCTCAGGAATCACCCTGGCTGCCTCAGGGGACCATATACAGTGCCAGGGATTGAACCAGGGTCAGCCGCATGCAAAGCAAGTGCCCTAACTATCTCTCCTGCCCTGTGTGACAGTTCTTTGTTTAAGTGTTTGAGGGACCTTTTCCACATCGTGCTCTTTTCCATAGCAGCTGCACTGCCTCATATTCCCACATCAGCTGTGCACAAGAGCTCTGATTTTCTTCTTCTTCTTCTTCTTCTTTTTTTTTGGTTTGATTTCAGGATCACATTAGTGTTCAGGGGATACTCTAGGTTCCATGCCCAGGGTATACTCCTGATGGTGCTCAGGGGAACCACGTGGAGCTGAGGATCAAGCCTGGGGTCTCCACACACAAAGTACATGCTCAGTCCTTTGGGCCATCTCCCTGGCCCTGTGTGCGTTCCATGCAGATCACCTGATGGGGTGAACCGGAGAATCTGTCATCTGGCTATGTTATTTGTTTGCTTGTTTTGTTTTTGGGGCTATGATAATACTCAGAGGTTATCCTGGCTCTGTATTCAGGAATCACTCCTGATGGTGCTTGGGGTATCATATGGGATGCTGGGATTGAACCCAGGTGGGCTGCATGAAAGGCAAGCACCCTACCCATTATACAGTCATTCTGGCCCCTCTGTCGTCTGGTTGGACTACAGAAAGAACCCCTCTTTGGGGAGCCCAGGAACACTAGCTGAGGGTTTGTGAAATACTTAGTCCCAGTCTAATGCCCTCCCAATAATGCAGGTATCACACCCTGACTGCTACTCCTCATTCTCCTGGCCTCCTGCCCCACAGGTGTCTGGCTGCAGCAAACCATGCAGTGAGCATGCCCCGCCCAGGAGCCCCCCGCCCATCCTCTGGGCCCCCACGCCTGGGCCCCTGGGGTCATCCATCAGAGCTATGCCTGGAGACGTATGATGAGCCGTCCCGGCCCCCACCAAGCCGTCGAACCCGGAGGCCAGACCCCAAGGACCCTGGCCACCATGGGCCAGAGAGCCTCACCTTCATCTCAGGCTCCGCTGAGGCGGCGGCTGAGCCCCCCGCCTGCTGCCTGCTCTGGCGCCCCTGGGTGTGGGACTGGTGCCGAGCAGCCTTCTGCTTCCGTCGCTGCCGGGGATGCCTCCAGCGCTGTGGAGCTTGTGTGCGGGATGGCAGTCCCTGCTTGTCCCCTGGGGACTCCACTGAGGGGGCCACTGAAGCCAGCTGGGCCAAAGAGCACAATGGGGTGCCCCCCAGCCCAGACCGGGCCCCACCAAGACAACGGGATGGCCAGCGACTCAAGTCCACCATGGGAAGCAGCTTCAGCTACCCTGACGTCAAGCTCAAAGGCATCCCCGTCTACCCCTACCGCAGCGCCACCTCCCCGGCCCCAGATGTGGACTCCTGCTGCAAGGAGCCCCTAGCCGAGCCCCCCACCCTGCGGCACAGCCTGCCCAGCACCCTGGCCAGCAGCCCCCGCGACTCAGTGGAGTACTACTCTTTCCATGAGTCGGACCTGGACCTACCTGACATCGGCAGCGGCTCCATGTCGAGCCGAGAGATCGACGTGCTCATCTTCAAGAAGCTAACGGAGCTGTTCAGCGTGCACCAGATTGATGAGCTGGCCAAGTGCACATCGGACACCGTGTTCCTGGAGAAGACCAGTAAAATCTCGGACCTTATCAGCAGCATCACCCAGGACTACCACCTGGACGAGCAGGATGCTGAGGGCCGCCTGGTCCGAGGCATCATTCGCATCAGCACTCGGAAGAGCCGAGCCCGTCCACAGACGGCAGAAGGGCGTTCAAGCCGAGCTACTGCGCCAGCTGTCACCGCCCCCGATAGTGGCCACGAAACCATGGTGGGCTCAGGGCTGAGCCAGGACGGTAGGTGGAGCCCCGGAAACCAAGAGAGCAGGTGACGAAGGTTCTGGCAGGTTTTATAGTGGAGTCTCTGACCACCACTCCTAATCTTCCTCACCTTTTCTCAACTCTGCATCCCTTAAGAGGCATCTGTCCTCAGTTGCCACCTGCCACCCTCCAGGCCTGGCTTGGCGTCACTGCACATGAGCATGCGTGTCTGTACTATTGGTAGTCCTCCAGCACAGCCTTTGCGTCCAGGGCCCTTCCTTCCCGGGGCGGAGGGCAGAAGTGGAAGGGGGCTGTGATGGCAAAGGTGTGACTGACCGTTTCCCCAACTCATGTTTCCTCCCTAGAACTGACAGTGCAGATCTCCCAGGAGACAACAGCAGATGCCATCGCCCGGAAGCTGAGGCCTTATGGAACTTCAGGTTAGTGTTGACTTTGAGTGCAGAGAGGGGGGACTTCCCTTAGGGGCACCCCACATGTACTCGCCCAGTTTTCTTCTGGGGTGGTTAAGGGTAAAATCAGAAAGGGACAAGAGAGGCCAGAGTGAGGTGCCGGAGCAATAGTACAGCAGGTAGGGCGTTTGCCTTGCACGCAGCCGACCTGGGTTCAATTGCCAGCATCCCATATCGTCCCCCAAGCACCACCAGCAGTAATTCTTGAGTGCAAAGCCAGGAGTAACTCTGAGCAGCATCGCTGGGTGTGACCAAAAAAAAAAAGAAAAATAGAGGCCAGAGTGATAGTACAGGGGTAAGGCGTTTGCCTTGCACATGACCAACTTGAGTTCAATCTCCGGCATCCTATAGGATTCTCTGCCTCTAGAACCTGCCAGTAGTAATGCCGGCGTGCAGAGCCAGGAGTAATCCCTGAGCACTGCTAGGTATAGCCCAAAAACAAAAACAAAAACCCTTCTGAGAGTCACAGGCATACACCCCTGCCCCCATACCCCAATCTTGCAAGCTGGCCTAAAGGATTTAGTCAAGTTCTGAGATGGTTCAAAGGAGTAAAGCATTTACTTTACCTGCATAAGGCTTGGGCTCCATCCCCTGCATCACTTGCCTCTCCTAAGTACTACATGGCTCCAAAGTAGAAACACACAAGAGCTGGAGAGTGAATATAGGTTTAGGGCACTGGCCTTGCATGCTCTTCTTGGGGTTCTGTTCTTGGTGCCACATATGACCCCCAAGCACTGCCAAGAGTGATCCCTGAGCATAGAACCAGAAGTAAGGCCTGAGTATTGCCAGGTGTGACCCCAAAACAAACCATCAGAAGAGATCCGGGAAGCTCTCCCTGAAACAGCAGGGTCAAGTACCTAGAACAGGGAAGCAGGAAGTGATGGGACCCCAAACTGTAAACCTAGATCCTGGGGTGGAAAACGTAGGATGGGAGACCACACTCCTGGTACTGAAATGGCAGCCTATATGTTTTCCACTGCCGTGTTGCTGTCTTCTTGCCTTCACAACAGCCCTTTGGAGCCATCATTTGCTTTGAACAGAGTCCGGGGGCCGGGTCTGAGAAGCCCGGAAACAGTGGGTCACCCAGCCAGGAGCAGACTGACCAAGGCTCAAATTCCACTCTGCTGCTTCTCGGCAGGCTCCTCCCCTCTGAACCTGTTTCCTTCTTCCTCCCGCCTCAGGATACCCAGCCAGCCACGACTCGTCCTTCCAGGGCACCGACACAGACTCATCCGGGGCACCCCTGCTCCAGGTGTACTGCTGACCTCTGCTGCTCCCAGCTGCCACAGTCATGAAAGAAGCAGCCTACAGAATGAAGAGGGGACCAAGCCCTGGGCCCTGGGCTCTGGGAGACAGGGCCATGAACCCAGACGCAGTGCTCACTCTGGCTCCTTCTGCCTGGCTGACTGGTTCCCAGATCACGTGCATTTCACTGGGCCACAGTGCCCACCATCCCACCCTGACCCCCAAATGGCCTGACCCATGCCTGGACCTTCCCTTTCTGCCCAGTCTTTGGCCAGTCTGGGGCTTGGAAAGCAGACAGTTACTCTCCGGATTGAATCCTGACTCCAATCCCAAAAAACTCCTCTAACAGATCATGCACACTTCCCCCGCCCAGGTAAACGCGGTTCGTCTGAATTTGGTTGGGGCGGGCATGGTCTGAGACTCTGGGCAGTGCCCATCCCATACCATGTTGAGTTATTTGGTTGCTGGCTGATGTCCTGTATGTTAACATGTCACCATTGCAAGTACAAAGGTAAACATCTGGTCATCTTGCAGTGACACTATCCGTTTGTCCCATTTGTCTGAGTCCTACCCGAAGAGGAGGCACAGAAGAACGTCCAGCTTATGTGGTGGTTCAGTCATGGGAAATGGGAAGAAATGCTGCCCTCTCAGATTCATGTTTATGAACTTTATGTTCCAGGACGTACATGTTTGTGCCTGAGAGTCTGAACAAGTGGTCATGGTTGACCGCTTCTTCCAGGCAGGCCTCCCTGGGTTCCCCAGCCTGCCCCTGCCTACTGCCAACAGGCCAACCTGCATTTGTCAGCCCTCCCCAGTGCTGAGGAAGCCCCATGGCCTTTCTAACACCCTGGGAGGCTCCTTCTCTCCCCAGGAGGTATGGGCTCAGGAGGTGCATTGGATCCTACAGCTAGGATGTCTGGAGCCTGGGAAGTGGCCTCTGAACCATTTTTGTATGCATGCTGTAAAGTTGATCTGCTTGGAACAGAATGAGGGTCCCAGCAGAGCCGACAGAGGACCCCACATTCGCCCTCAGAGGGGTCCCTTAGACCTTCAGCAGTAAGGCAAGGGCAAGCCTCTAAGCCCATGACAAACAGACCCAGGATCTCCTTTGGACCAGGGCATGAAAGAAACTTGTCTGTCCTGCTTCCTCCCGAGAACAGAACAAGATGGTGTGGGCTCTGAACACAGAAACAAGTTCCAGTGAAAAAACTGGCCCTGTTCTCTGGGCTGGGCCAAGGCCTCACTAAGACTGAGCCAAGATCAAAAATTACCACAGGATGCTGGAGTCAGGGCTGTCACTGGACAGAGCAGTATACTATTCCACGGCCCTACTCCCAGATGCCCTGTAGCACCATTTTTCAAATTCAGCCCTGGCAGCCACTATTGGCTTTCCCAGGAAAAGTAGGTTCATCAGGTTTGGGAAATAAACAAGGCTTAGGTATGACATTGCCTCTTTAAGTTCTTTACAGTTTTTTTTTTTTTGGGGGGGGGGGTGGCGTAGTCACCTGGCTGTGCTCAGGGCTTACTCCTGGCTCAGAGAACTATAAGTAGTGTCAGGGACTGAACCTAAGTCAGCTGCCTGCAAGGCAAATGCCTTAACCCTTATACTGTCTCTCTAGCCCCTCATTATGTTCTTAACAAGCTATTCTAAAGTTCCTAAAGGACAGTATATTCCAAAAATTCAGGAATCACTCACGACAACCAACTTAAGACATCCTTGCTGTCACCTACAACCTCAGTGGCCCCTATGCTCAGTTGAGTGCCACTGTCTGGCCAAAGTGGGAAGGGGTCATTTCCAAGGGCTGGATTTTGGATCATGGCATGTACCTGTTAAGCTCTGTACCCACCCACGGACCGACTGAAAAATTCTAAAACTGGAGATTAGGTTGTAGATATAATAGCACCTCTGTTGAACCCTGTCCTGCCAGCCAAGTCCTATACCAGGCAAAGTAGATCTGATGGGCATTCCCTGCTTTGCTCCCCATGACCTGAGAAAATGTTGTGTCTTGGGTTTTGTTTTCCCCAGTGGTTCCAGCAGCCACCAGGATCTACCTGGTGGTGTTCAAGAAACCATGTAGTGCCAGGCTGCCTCAAACCTGGGGCATTGTGCTTGCCAGGTATGCCCTCAAGCCCTTGAAGCCATCTTCTGGGCCCTAGTATTAAGATTTAGAAACACTTGATCCAGGGTTAGAGGGGACACACTGTGAGTGAAGTGGTCGAAATGAAATGTATCCTGTGAAGGCACAGAGATAGGATTTGCCTTACATGCAGCCAACCTGGGTTTGATCCCTGGTCTCCTGAGAACTGCCAGGAGTGGTCCCTGAGTACTTCCATGAACCTGGTTGGGCTGGGTCATGAATGGGCCCCATTCAGAACCTGACACATATGTTTTGCAGTCAGAAAAACTCAACCTTGGCTCAAAATCATATAGACAAATGCCCTGTTTTAATACTTCCTTTAAATCAGGGTAGGCCAAAATGGGTGATACTCCCCTCTGGGGTTGTTAGAAGGATTTGGGGGTCAGATGGGAGGTGGGTGGGAGACAATAGTAGACTTAGGTATAACTGGGTGCTTTACTTAAAGGTAGATTTCCAAGAGGGCATTGGTGATGCCTTTTTTTCCCCTCCTCAATGGTAACAGAAGGTCAAGTAAATTTGGGAACTCTTGGTTTCTGCTTTTAGTAACAGGCCATTAATCCCCAGAGAGAGACAAGAACTTGCCCTCAGGTCATACCAGAGGATCTGGTATGAAGCCAGATCCCCAACTCGCAGCAGTAGTTCTATGTGGCCTGTTCCCCACAGAGAGACTGTAAGACACAGGGAGAAGTGAGTAAATAGCTCTAATGTGTAACAGTAGGCCAACTGAGGAAGAAAGGACCCCCAGGGCCCCAGCCCTTCTCCCCTTAATGCCTCGGGTCCTGTGTGCTTGGGCCAGTCCCATGCCTGCACCAGCCCTGAGGCCCCTAAGTTCCAAGCAAGGGTGAGAAGGGAAGATGGGTGGTTGGAGGTTCAGTCCAAGAGTTCCAGGAGCAAACATAGGAGCTAGTTGAATTTGGCCTTGGAAAAATCCATCTCTGGGTGTTGATCCATGAACCTGAGGAGGGGAAGTGGGGAAAAAGAGTCAGAGAGGCCATCTCTCTGCCTTCTCCCAGCCCCACACAAGGTGCATCTCTTCAGAGCAGGAGCAACTGGAGCAGGGGCCAGCTGGGTGGGAGACCCAGGTTGGGGCACCACACCAAACTCTTATCCTGGAGGTGGCCATGACCTCCGATTACCTCTCCCTCCCCACCCTGAGGCGGCCTTGCCCTCACAATGACCCCTGCAGGTGATTAAGGTAGGCAGCCGGAGTCTATAAAGCCATAAACTGCCTGGCTCCTCCCCGCCCGTGTTCTGCTCAGTGACCTACTCGCAGCTTTCCCACCATCCGGTTCCAAATCCCCACACCCTCATCTCCAGGTGCTCACTTCTTCAGGATCTCTTGTTTCTTCTGCTCATCGGAGGTGGGAAGCCCCATGGACTTCTGTCTCTGGTCGTACATCATTTTCTCTACCATGCTGCGGGTCTCACTGTCCAGGTCTGAGAGCTGGGGGCAGGCAGAGCAAGACATGAGTGAGGTGCTGAGGCCCTCCAAACCCATCACCTCCCAGCGGAAGCTCCAACTAGCCAAGGCTCACCTTGGAATTCTCAGGGTTGATCTTCTTGGTATTGATCTCAGGGTCACTGGCCACCAGGCGACTCCACCATTCCATCTTGTTGATCTGAAAGAACGAGAAATAGAATATCAGGGACAGAGGCGAGTCCCAGGAACCACCAACTGTTCCCTGCCGTAACTCTGGTCCACTTCCTGACCCACAAAGACCTGCGCTCTAGTGCAGATGAGCAAGAATCTGTCCTCCCCAGCAGCTGGGCGAGTCTAACACAGAAAGCAGGTCGGGGGCAAGGAGACAGCTCAATGGGTGGAGTGCATGTTTTGCACACAGGGGGCAGGGATTCTGTCCCCAAAGTTCACCCTAAGTACAGCCAAATCTAATCCCAAAACCAAAAAAGAAAAAATAACCCAGCTGAACAAAGGAAAGAATGAAACCCTGAGAGGTAGTCACTTGAGGAAGAGAGCGAGACGGCTGTGGACCCTCCACACAAGTAGATCACTACAGTGGGAACAGGGACATAGCAAGCAGGCACCCCAGAGAGGCCTCCTGTGCCCACGCTTCTGGAACCCCTGGCACTCCAGAGACCACTTTTATTTACTGGGGTCTGCATTGCCTGTCTGGGATGAGGGAAACAGGCTCCTGGTTTTCTGTTTTGTTTGCTGCTCTCTCTCCAGCACATAGGGTAGCTATCTGAGTATCTACAGAACTGAGGATGGAGTGATAGTTCGGTGGATAGAACAACTGCCTTGCAATAGTTGGCCCGGTTCCGATTCCACCACATATGGTCCCCCAAGCCCCATACCAGTCCCACACCAGAAGTAATCCCTGAGCACTGCTGAGCGTTGTCCAAAAAAAAAAAAAAAAAAAAAAAAAAAAAGACCAGAGAGTTATACTTGCATGTAGCAGGCTCAGGTTTGATTCCCGGAACCCCACCTGGTCCCCTCAAGCCCTGCCAGGAGTGATCTCTGAGCACCACGGAGTAAGGCCAAAAACGAAACAAGCAAAAAGAACCAAACACACACAAACCCGAAGGGCACTTAGCAGCCAACAGTGGTGAGCACTCATTCCTCTAGACGGGAGCCTGTACGAACCTCCCAGCTGCCCCTTCCTGACTCAAATGAAACAGACCTACTTGTTTGGGGAATTAAATGAGAAACGCCCACCAGGTTCCAGCATGTGGCCCACAAAATGATCCAACGCCCTGCCCTGCCCACCCCTCAGGAGGCAAGGCCCCTTGTACCTTCTCCAAATGCACAGTCACCACCTTGCCGTCCTCGATAAGCCACGAGCTCTCCTCCACTTTCACTTCGTTGTACAGCTCCCCGTCGATGATTGCGGGCTGGCCCTTTAGTCCTACCCGGAGGTGCCGCCGCTGGATATCCACCACCACATCCTTCCCCTTCAGTCGGAAGTTCACACGGAAGGGTACTGCCAGCTGCATGGGGCATAGCAGTCAAGAAGAGTCAAGAAGGGCCAAGGAAGGGCCCCTGAGCCCCAGGCTGATTCCCAGACCCCAGTGCCACAACTCACGTCTAGCTCCGACAGGGTCTGGGTCCAGCGGTAATTGGGAAGGTCTGCCCCATTGCCGAGATTGGGCTTCAGTTTCCCTTTGTCCTTCTCATCTTCCTCTTCTTCGTCCTCCTCCTCTGCCTCCTGCTCAATCA